CCTCTGGAAATGCTCCTACACGGGTGCCTGGAAGTCTTTGGGCACAGTCCCGCAGGGTGTTTGCTGGCGTGGCGTGGTGTGGCGCGGCGTGGTGCGGTTGCTCGTGCCGGGAGGGCGTCCGGCGGGGCTGGCCACAGCAGTCCTGGCTGGCAGAGGTGGCCAGCAGCAGGATCCCAGCTCCAAAGGAAGTGGGGCTCTTGCAGACACCCTGGAAAGCAGGCGGGATGCGGCTGCGTCCGCCTGAGCCTGCAGCCAGCCCCAGTGGGAGCACGGAGGGGTGCGGAGGCCTCGCTTCCTTGCAAACGTGCTGTTAACGCTGGAGCCTAACAAAGCCACTGCCGTGCCACCGACTGCAGGCAGGCTGATGTGACCGCAGCCTTCGTAGCAGGGGGTGCCTACTCTTGGCCAGCCTGGCACCACTTCCCAGGGCTGCCCCTGGGTGAACGCAAGGCACTGAGCGTGCCCCCCACCGCGCCCCGTGTGAGCCCAGCTTGTCCGCGCTGTGGACTAGGCCCCGCATGGAGCTGCAGAGAGCCCGGCCTGTTGCAGCCCAGAGCTAAGGCTTTTGGTCTATCACGATCTTCTCCATTGTGCCGGCTCCACAGGGGCTGGCTACGATTCAGGGGTGATGGCAAGGATCGTGGCTCCGTTGGCGATGCAGGGGCTGCTTGGCCCCGGGGCTGTGCCAGGCCTCAGCACTCCCCGGTGCTAATCAGAGGGGCCAAGGACAGGCCGGGCACTGCAGAGACGGGCTTGGGTTTGCACCCGAGTGCTTAGACACGATGGTGGCATCGATGGGCTGTGGCTAGAGACTGGGCCAGCAAGCCTAGCACACCTTGCAAGCAGATGGATAGATGGATATGATCCTCTCGGGGAAACTGAGGCACAGGGCAGGAATATGCCCTGCCCCGGCTCGCCGGCCCCCCAGTCGTGCCCATCCACCGCAGACAGGTCCGCACTGCCTTCGCCATGGCTGAAGGCACCGTGGGGACCTGGGCATCTGGGAAACGCAGCAAAGCCCCCCCTCGAGCTCTGGGTGCTCCCGCTTGCGGCTCTCCTGGCCTCCCTGCCACCGGCAGCGTGGGGCACCAGGGTGGGAGGGGGCAAATCCTTCCCCTGTGGGTGCGTGAGTCCCTGGCATCACCCGCGACCGCTGCACGGGGCCCTTCTCCTGGATGCCGGGGTCCCGCGGCCCCAATTCGGCCGCATGCCCCATCCCTCCCACCTGCCGCCCCGCACCATTGTTCATCCCGGCCCAGCTGAGGCCGCAGGGCCCGGGCCTGGCTCCCAGCGCCTGCTCCTAATCGAATTACGGCCGGCACGGGGCTGAGGGCTGGAGGTAATTGAATTTCTCCCGTCACCGCCTGATGTCCCCCCCTCTGCCTCTTGCCCAGGCTTTATTGTTTCTGGGCCGGGCGGCCGTGGCGCATTCATTTGATCTGTCACTGGGAGCCCTCTCGCCCTCGCTGTGGGCCGGCTCCCCAAACACAATTACCCGTGCGGCGAACAATGGGGGACCGTGCTTCCCCTGCCGACCGCTGCGCAGGGGAGGAGAGGGGGGTCTCTGCTGCAGAAACCCCCCAGCCAACCTGGGACTGCTGCACCAGAGGTGCTGACTGGGCATCAGGGCATTGCAGGGTGTCCCACGGGCCTGGGGCACTGAACACCCCAGCCTAGCCCCTGCACAGGGCACCCGCTGCCTTGCTACGTCTCCCGGTGAAACCCTGCACGGATCCTGCCCTGCCCTGAGCTGGGACTGCTGGACCCAGCCTCTGAGCCCCATATCCAACCCCGGGGCCTGGCTCCAGGGCAGGGTGAATCCCTCGGGGCCCTGAAGCTGCCACCCGGCTGCTTTCGGATGCTCCTCCGGGGGACGTGAAGCAGCTTGGGCAGCAGTCTGGAGAGGTGGGCCTGGGACCCGTCACCGGCGTGTCTGGGCATCTTCCACCTGGCATCAAGAGCCACAGGGAAGTCATAGGAACATGGAGATGTGGGGCTGGAAGGGACTTGGACTTGAAGCCGCTCCCCCTTTCCCACCACGGGCTGAGCAGCGATCGGTGCGTTGGGTCGGTGGCCATTCCAACATACCCCATGCCCTTGCCTGCGGGGCTCTCTGCGGCACACAGTGGCGAGGCCACGGGGAGGCAAGAAGGCAGCCAAGGCCCCGTTTACACTCGCAGGCACTCTGGGACAAGCAGATGAAGGAGAATATGTCCACGACACACAAGAAGTCCGAAAACAAGCTGGGAAAAGAGCCCATTATCCTCCTAAACTATGAGGCAATCGCAATTTAGCCATGACTTAGCTTCTGTCTCTGGCACTGACTCCCTGGGTGACCTTGGTCAAGTTACTTAGCCTAGCTGGTGCAAAAGCACCCACGGGTTGTAGGTGCCAGGCTTGGCCCTGGTGTCCGAGGGCGTCCTCCCCCCTGACTGGCCTAGCAGAGCAAGTCCCAGTGATGCAGAAACTGGCCAAACCCGGCCCCCTTGCAACCTTCTGAATCCTGCTGCACCTAGTTTAAAACCACCCGCCTGGCAGTGGCAGTGGCATTTCTACTCAGGCAGCATTAAGGGCATCAATCAACTTCTCAACTCATTAAAATCTACCTAATTCCTTCTAAACTTTTCGTCCCACAGGTGTTAACGACCCTCTCTTCTGCTCAAAGGTCTTGATGCTCCTGCCAATCAAACTCCCCTTCGTTCTGCCGCCTGTTTGCTGCTCCTGGTCACGAAGCTCCTATTTCACAGCCCTGCAGATTGTGTGTAATTCATGCCAATGAAGTTATATTTGGGTTATTTTTGCTTGTCTTAAACATTATAATCCAGCCAGAGGCCCTGAGTGCATTAGTAAAGCTTCTGGTGTCTTTTTAACTGGAGAAAAATAGCTGTCGTTTTACTGCACCCTCCCTTTTCCACTTAGTTGTGCTGACACTCACATGTAACCGTGAAGCACAAAACCCAAGCCACCAAGGATGGCCTGTAACATGTCCCGGGGAAAACACAGGGAGATGCGGGCACTGCCCCTTGCCGCCACAGGGAAGAAGGCTGATGTCTGATCGGCAGGGCCCAGGAAAAGGGCAAAACTCTGCCACCGTCCCGGCCAATCTGACTGAAGTCCCAGCTGCAGATTTGGTGCTGACCTGACTCCGAGTGGAGGGGCAGGACCCTCCAGCATGGGGTCCTGGAGTCAGGAGCAGCAGTACAAGCCCCAGCGCCTCTAAGGGAAACACAAGCCCCCCACACTGTCCGCCTGCAAGGCAGACGCCCACAACAGCATTCACAAGGGGCAAAAAAAAATTGCTCCTGGGCCTCTTCAGGCAACCAGCAAAAGCTTTCAAGGCCAGAGCTGTACCACACGAGTGCTGCCGCTATGGGGCGGCTGCCCCTGGTCGAGGATGGGCCCTACGTGCTGATTTGGGTGCGCTTTTGAAGTCAGCCTAAGCACGCGTTGCTCTGAGGTGCTCAGGGGTCCGGAGGGCTCCCAACCCGCCTGCTGCCGCTCTCGGGGTTTGGGCTGCGTGGGTCTGGGCACTTGCAGAGGCAGCCGCCTGCAACCGGCCTCCTGGAGCTGGGGTGCGATGCAGAAAGAATGACTCAAGTCAGAAAGAAGTGGGGTCCAGGGGTCATCTTGACCACCCCCCGGCTAAGTTTGGGCATCTTCAGCCTTCTGGCTCACTGTCTCTTTTATCAGGCCACTCACTAGTCAGTGAAGCCTGTTACGCCCAAAGTGCTTTGTGGTGCCTTAGCTTAACTATAACTCAGCACAACTAAGGCCTCGCAACTCCTACAGCATGAACCCAGCCCCTGGTGCTGCTCTCTGCTGACTGGGTCGGCCTTACGGTTAGGGTGAGGATTTAGGGGTAGGGTTTTAGGGCAGGGCTAGACAGAAGACTCGAAGCACTGAGGTCCCAGGATCATAGATGAGGGCTGGAAGGGAGCTCCAGGCCAGGTCCATAAGTCCTCGTACACCCTCTCTTCAGACCCTGGGACCTTGCACCCCTCTGCCGTGTCCATTTGGTGCTTCCACAATCTCTCTAGGTAGCCTGTTCCAGTGTTTTACAACCCTTATGAGAAAGTTTGTCCTAATATCTAACCTTCTCTGCATGTAGCAGCAGGAGGGGAAATCAATTCCCTCCCGGCCCCTTGTCACAGCCAGCGCAGCCCAGAAGCCTGCAAAATCCCCATAGCAGACCACAGTCACAATTACACCTAGATCATCCCTGACTAGTGCTCATTCAACCACTCCTTGAACACCTCCAGTGATGGAGAGTTCAATCCCTCCCTAACGATCTAGTCCACTGCCTCCTGCTCTGTCAGTACAGAAGTGTTTCCTGAAATCCGACTTTGCTGCAACTTCAAGCCATTGGTCTTAATGTTAAGTGCGATGCGGCGGCATCAGCAGAGCAGTCAAGTGCTATTATACTGAGATGTGACAACGCCGCAGGCCCGCTGGAGAGCCCATACCCACCACATCCATGTTACATAGGCCATCTGGGGGTGTCTAGTGATGGGCACATGGGTCAGAGAAGGGACATAAAAGCTGGGGGTTGCTATAAGCCTCTGTGCCCTGTGTGGACACAAGGCCCCGTGAAGTTTCACTCTGGGTGGAAAGTCTTGCTCGAGACCTCGTCATGTGAAGGCCTGGAGCTGTGTAGAGGGACCGCTCTGCTTTTGGGACAGAGGTCCCTTCCGGAGCTGACAAGGCCTGAGACTACCTGGGGAAGCTGGACAAGCCCCAGGTCAGTGGGGAGTATGCATAAACTGCTTGCTGTGTCCAGAGCATCTGTCCCCTGAAACCCGTGGGCCCTTGTTTCAAGCTTGTGCTTTGTGGGAGCTGGAGAGCACCAGCATCATCTTTGAGAGAACAGAGCTCGGACCCGCTGGGGGGGAATGATGGGGGCAGAAACGTGGGATCCTGCTCTGAGAAAGGTGGCAGCAAGGTCTGACAGCTGAGCAAGGGGATCGAGGGTGATGGTGGGCAGTGGGGAATCACGCTACGGATGCCAGACAAAACAGACTTTTATTGACCGAAACACACAATTTAGAGTCTGAGCCCAGAGGCAGCAGGTCTCACACACGAGCGGTTCCCCCCGCACCCGAGTGTTGTGGCGACGGCAACAGGGCTCTGAAGAGTTAAACCTTCTGCAGAGGAAGGATCTTGCGAGCATGCAGGGAACAAATCTGATTACTGCTGGCAGGAGATGGCCCAGCTCCACGTTTGCCTGGAGCAGGGCACTTTGCTCTGACCCGGCAACTGGCTACGGCTCAGCCCGGCCCAGAGATGCTGCTTCCCAGAAGGAGGATTTGCAGGATGGAGACGATCGAGTCCGGCGCAGAGACGACAGCAGCAGCACTCGTAGACAGGACCGCACCGGCGTGTCACGGGTCTGGGTTTGGCTGGAGCCTCGCTGGGTGGATTCACCCGAGAGCAGGCAGTGGAAGGGTCTCAGCCGAAGGCTCCCTGAAGGCAGCTGAGCCGCATTTGTGCCCCTCTTTTCCCCGTTCCTCAGGGAGGTGGGCTCCCCTGCCCCTGTGCCATGCCCACCGTCCTGAGAAAGAGCTGCGTGCCACGTATGCACCATGCAGCTACTGAAGTTCAGTGACACAGACCACGCACAGGGGCTGGAGAGCTCATGGCAGCTTTTAAAATCAAGCCATAATGTGGAGAAGCACCTGCCCTTAGGCAGCACACCCTGCTCTGTAGCCAGAGCAGGGCAAGCAGGAGCTCCCTCCTGAGCAAAGGGATAAACTCAAGGGAGAGCCAGACTCTCTAGCACTGGTGTGGGTTGAAATCTGCCTCCCTTTCCTTGCTGAAACACTCCTCCCTGCCCTTATATTCCTCTCACTCCAAGGTTTCCACATGGCGGCATGTCCGTCTGTTCTCCCCGTGAGTTGGAGGGCAGCATGGAGTTCAACCCTATGAGGGCGATGGAGGGTCTTGAACCAACTTGGTGAGAACACAGGACGGTAGGGGCCTAGGAGGGTATTCAGTGACAAAACACACATGTCCCCTGAGCCCCTTGTTATGGGCTGGGCTCCCGTCCCCTTTGCTCTTACTCATAGACGGGCTGTTCTCCAAAGTCTGAGTCGCACAGTGACTTTATTGTTGTCTGGCCCCCCCGTGCCTACAAGAAGTAAGAGATCTGGTCAGGGTTCAGGGGCACCTGGATGTCCAGTTTCCGGCGCTTGCTGTCCTTCTCCACGATCTCCAACCGCAGCGTCGGGGCCTTCCTCTCAGTCTCCTCCAAGGAGGAACTGTCTTTGGTTTTCAGCAGCTTCTTGTCCGAGTCCTCCACCGTGATGCGCAGGGTGCAGCCCCGTGGCAACAGGTCTTGCTCGTAGGCGGCCGCTAACTGGTTCACAACGCGCCGCTCGACCTGGGGAGGGGGTGGGTAGAGAAACAACCATCCCCCTGTTAGGGAACCTGCCCCCAGCCTCTTCCTGCTGTGAGCAGCCTGACAGGGGACACCCTCCCCCAGTGCCACTGCCCCCGGCTTCCTATCTGACTCTACTAGCCGGGGTCAAGGGCCTGAGTGGTGTCTCTGCTCGCATGTCACAGGGGAATGGAGCAGGCAGCTGCTCTACTGTGTGGGTGCAGTATGTCCACTGGGTCCCAACAGGACCTGGTGGTTTTGGAACTTCTTACAGCTAAGATGCATAAAGGGATGGAGCCCTTGTGCCTTTGTCTCTCTCTCTCTCTCTCTCTCTCTCTCTCTCTCTCTGTGTGTGTGTGTGTGTGTGTGCGCGCGCGCACACGTACGTACGTGGGAACGCTGTGTGCATACACCCAAGGTCTACCCCTTGCTATGTGACGGCCTTTACAGGATGGATCCAAAAATCCACCCCAGGATGAGGTTTGTTGCGCCTCCACAACAGCCTGGAGAGAAGGCAGGCTGGTGGGGAAGGAGGAGTCTGCAGAGGGTATGGCAGTCTTGCCTCCTCCTGTGCCTCACCTCGTGTTTGATCGACCGGGCGCCGTAGTGCAAATTGTAGCCATCAGCCAGGACGTCCATCACTTCCCTGTCCCAGAGCAAAGTGATACTGTGCCGCATTTTGGCCTGCCAGGGGAGAAAGGCATGGCATATTACCAGACTCCAGTGGGCAACCTGATTAGGGTGCATGGGAGACTGTCATTATGGATGGATGCTGCCACTGTCATACAGCCCTGGGGCTTTGGCATGCAGGTTGTTTGCATGGGGGATGTGGCCTGGCTTTGAGAGCCTGGCACTGCACAGCTAAGACTCTCAGGACACAGGCAAGCATTGCAGCCCACTGTGTTTCCCCTCCACAGCGGTAGTGAGTGTAAGCAGTGGTGCACATGACACTTGGGGAACCTCGTTGTGTTCGTGACACAGCATAGCTGGGAGGAGAGTGACATCATGGCAACGAGGCTCACATGCCAATAGGGTTTGGGGCGAGGATGTGGTCAGGGACTCCTGCCCTGCTGGTGCATCAAGCAGTGCACATCCCTCCCAAAGCAGCGCACATCCAGCTGTGGGTTGGTTTTACCTTCTTGGCCCAGAAATTCAGCTCTTTATTGACCAGTTGGATGAGCTCTGCGTGGCAGAAGGGGAGGAAGTAAACGATTTCGTTAATCCTGCCCAGGAACTCGTCCCGCCGGAAATGAGCCTGTCAGGGGCAGAGGGCAGATGTCAGCAACAGCCTCTACTGGCACCACACGAGGGGACCCCCAGAGATCCCATCCCACCTCCTGATGGCTCTCAAGAGCACCTGCCACAACACTGCGAGCAGCTGGAAATGACTGGGCTGAGAGGCCTGGACCAGAAGTCCGTGTTGAGGGTTTCCTGGTTATCGCGGGCTTCTCTTGGGCAACAGAGAGGAACTTTTATGTGTAGGGGAAAGGAAGGGGCTGAGCACTGGGACCTCCCACGCTCCAAGTCTGGGACCTCAGCCTCTCCTTTGTGCAACAAAGTCATTTAGGTCTAAATGACCAATATGGAGGATTTTGCTTCTGAGGGGCTGGTCCGAGACTCCTGCACTCACTACTCCCAATGCAGGGAATGGAGGTTTCTGAACCTCTAGAAAGCAAACGCCGTGCCTCTTGGGGCAGCTACCCCATAAACGGAAGCCCCCAAGTCCGTGAATGCTTTACACCCGGCTCAAACTTCTTTGGACTCATTTTCTCGATCAGTACAACAGGGTAATGTTGATCTCCCTTGGGATGGGGTTGAGGGGTCACTCTAGTGCTCCAAAGAGGTAATACCCCATATCATGTAGGTGCTGCTGCTAACAGATCTATGTGGAAACAACTCAAAAGTAGTGAAACTCTCAGGACGCTTTCACCAGGTGATATGAGCACTATGGAAAAATTAGGAGACAGTCTCCTCTTAAAACCAGAGAGAGGCATTGAAGAATCCAGTCTATCCTTCACCAGCAAGAAGTGAATGGACCAGATGCTTTCGTAATTTAATAACCCTCTACCTTGGGTGACTCCAAATCCTGGTGAAGACTAGTCTCTGGGCATTACAGTGCTGGCTACTTTCCTGATGCTAAAGGATGGGTGATTCTGTTAATATGAGGAACATGCCATGCATGGCAGATCCATGCTCCTTTTTTGTGGGGAAAAGGCATAACTGGTAGCACCCACTGGAAAGAAAGAAACCCACTAGCGTGTGAGCAGGAGCAGAGCTGTGAAATCTGTCACTGTGACAGGTCACATGTGGTTTCCGCATGCGCGCAGGGCTTGGGGGATCTGCCCTGCTGTGCCGATGCTGCCGCCCGTAAACCAGCCCAGGGACACTGGCTGGGCAGGGCAGTGGCATCTTAACCCCCCAGTGCCAAAGGCTGGGACTCTGCAAGTTGGCGGTGCGTGTGTGGTGGGGAGGCGGTCGGGTACTGTGGGGATAAGCCCAGTAGAGAAACCCAAGAGAACAGCCCAGGGGTGAACAGGAGGCAGCAAGCCAGCCTGCCATACCTTCAGGATGGGGCGGATGACCTTCTCCTTGAATTGCTTGGAGATCGTGATCTTGTCAGACATGTGGACATCGTCTGCAGGAGATAAAGGCATAAGTGTGTGAGCCTGAGACGTTGGTCTGGGGTGGTCTTTTTGAGAACAAATGAGGCTTGGCCTTTGCAAGGAGGCAGATTCTGGGCTGAAAAAGGAGACGCAGGAAGGCCCAGTACAACCCAGGAAGGTCCAGTACAAGCAATGCCATAGACCACCCATGCATGCTGGACTGCCAGTGATGTGGCCTCACTTGCACTCGCCTTTGTGCATGACAGCACGTTTCCGTGTGGAGACCGCTCTGACTCCACCCCGCTCTGTGCCTCTGCGTAGACCCAAGGATGCTCTCTGCACTGCGTCATGCTGACAATGCCTGTCTCTGCCTGGGCACCTCTGCTCCTGCTCCGCGCCCCTCCTGCTTTCCCTGCAAACGCCCCCACAAGGACAAAAGCCCTCATCAGGCCTCCCTAGATCAGCAATGTATTGTGGATCAGATGTCCGGGCCGCTGTTGATTGCATTACATGCAAGCATGCAGCCGCCCGGGGTGCCCGTGCTCCCGGCTGTCTCATCTGCTCTATCAGACAGAGACACACAGCTCAGTCACGTTAGCAAACAACAGAGCCCTGGGCAGTTAGCTGGCCCCAGCCTGGTGGCTCTTCCCTCTTGTGCTCATGTCTCTTCAGTTCCATCTCCCTCTGCAGTTGAGACTTGCACTGTGAGGGCTGAGGTCTGGGAGCTTTGCCCACCCAGGCCCATTTGTTCCTGGGGTTGCTAAAGTTACCCTGGGCTGCACTTTGTGTCTGGGGACACGGCTGCAACTTTTAATTCGACAAGTTCCAAATGATGTGACCCCTCTCCCATCACCCCTCGCTGCTGATGTTAATGGAGGTGCCTGCGCAGACAGCTCACAGCTTAGACAAAAGGCGTTGTCACCAAGGGGCTCTGTTCTGGATTTGCTGCACTCTGGCTAAGCCGAGCCCCAGAGGTGCTGACGGTCAAGCAGCGGGATTGCTGGGTAAGCAGGATACCCTATAAAATGCCAGAGGTTAAACAAGCCAGGAGCATGGGCTTTTTAACCAAGACAGGATGCTGAGAGGCGCTCTTCTGTTGCACGAGTCCTTTGTGAGACAAAGGCGGAAGCCCTTAGAAAGCTTCATGCGTTTTTAAGAAGTTTTGAAGATGTGGCTAGACAAAACCCTTGGCTGAGATGAACTAGCTGGGCCTGGTCCTGCTTTCAGCAGGGGGTTGGACTAGATGCGACCTCCGAGGTCCCTTCCTACCCTCATTTCTATGATTCTAACTCTTGCTGCTTTCCTAGATAGATGGAAAGATACTGTCAGAGCTGGTCTTCCCATCTATCTAGTTCTTTATCTAGCCACTTCCACAGCACTGGAGCAACCAGCTCTGTAAGTCAAGAGCTCGGGAAATTGCAGGGAGGCAGCTGATACTCTTCTGCGGTCAGGCATCAGCCTCTAAAACACATCTCCCAGCTGCTCTCCTGATGCCTCCCATCCATCGCTGTTGTCTTGGCAAGCCACACGGAGCTCCCAGAAATTAAAATTCAATCCCTGCCTCGTTTTGAAGGCGGCGTGTGGCATTTTAAAATGTTAGGCTTGAAAGTTCAGTTGCGAACGGGTCGTGTTCTCATTCTGACGGACGACTGGAGGTTCTGTGCAATAGAAACCCTGCCGCCTTCCTCTCCCATGAAACAGGAGGCAGAAGGAGAGGCTGGCAAAAAACACAACAAAACAAAACAAAAAACGTGGTGTCAGTCACTAGAGATAAGTGCCGGCCCTGAAATGGGGGGTGACAGGGCTGCACTTCCTTGCTAGAGCTCTTGGAAGCAATTCGCAGGAGGTTTTCACTCTGGAATCCCGAGGTAGGTGGCACTCATATTGCCACAGCCCTCTGCACCGCTTCCGCACGTGGGTCACGGTGGCACGGCTCTCTGCACCGCTTCCGCACGTGGGTCACGGTGGCACGGCTCTCTGCACCGCTTCCGCACGTGGGTCACGGTGGCACGGCTCTCTGCACCGCTTCCGCACGTGGGTCACGGTGGCACGGCTCTCTGCACCGCTTCCGCACGTGGGTCACGGTGGCACGGCTCTCTGCACCGCTTCCGCACGTGGGTCACGGTGGCACGGCTCTCTGCACCGCTTCCGCACGTGGGTCACGGTGGCACGGCTCTCTGCACCGCTTCCGCACGTGGGTCACGGTGGCACGGCCCTCTGCACCGCTTCCACACGTGGGTCACGGTGGCACGGCTCTCTGCACCGCTTCCACACGTGGGCCACGGTGGCACGGCTCTCTGCACCGCTTCTGCACGTGGGTCATGGTGGCACGGCCCTCTGCACCGCTTCTGCACGTGGGTCACGGTGGCACAGCCCTCTGCACCGCTTCCGCACGTGGGTCACGGTGGCACGGCTCTCTGCACCGCTTCCGCACGTGGGTCACGGTGGCACGGCCCTCTGCACCGCTTCTGCATGTGCGTCACGGTGGCACAGCCTTCTGCACTGCTTTTGCAAGTGGGCCATGGTGGCATGGCTCTCTGCACTGCTTCTACACGTGGGCCATGGTGGCAGGCATGGCTCTGGAAAGGATTTGATAGCCCAAGGGGACTCGGCTCTAACGCAATGAAAAGCTCAGTGCCCAGTGACAGGCAGTGGCTTTCCCAGTTATTAATCCACACTAGGGTTGACAGCATTAACACAGCTGTTGTGCAGAGACTGATGTCTATCATGCTGCTCAACACTGCCTTGCTGCTTCCTCCTGCTCCCCTGCCTGTATTCACTTGTGGTCCCTTGTGAGGGGATACTCCAGCACACACCGTGATGGAGAGCTGACCTGTGACTGGGCTGCCCTGGTTCTATCCTATTATAAGACTGAAGCAGACAGAAAGTGGGGGATTCTCAGCTCCTAGCAATACCCAATTTGCACAGGATGTATTTACATATCACTCTGCTCTCAGGAAAGTGACTTACCTCAATCTCTTTGAAGATGTTCTTGCACGATGCTCGCACATAGGTCCAGCACAAGACAAGGTACAATTGCTTGAGCTCAAGAAACTGTTTGCTTTGGGGTATGCAGCAGGGAAGGGAAGGCAGTGTAAAAGCCCCCTGTCTGTATTAGCCACTCACACCTCACTGCCCCAGGAACCTTTCAGCTGGTCCATGAACTGGGTGGGAAACAGGCGCTCTGCAAACACTAAGCCAAGGAGAAACTGTACTAGAAAAATGGATGAGCCAGTGCTGTTTTTGGACTGCAGGAGAAATACCAAAGCAAAGATAGCACCTGAAGAGCAGGGTCCTGAATCTCAGAGGGGACCAGAAGTGGGTAACTCAAAAGCTCTGTCAGGACCACAGGTGTATTCTGCAGCACAGTGTGCTGGGTTTTGGACTTGGTAACTGGGAGCTATGCATCTTGAATTAAGGATGCCTAGATACCTACCTGCTTACTGAGTGTTAAAGCACACTCAGTGCCAAGCAGGGCCCAACCCAAAGTCCTGGAAAAATGACCAGTTAAGGATTCATGCAGAGGAAAAGAGGAGCCAACAAGTCTGAAGCATGGACAGGGGGATCCTGGACAAGCAGGGCTGGAAGTAAGGCTCCAGATCCAGGTAGCCTGGGGCCCTGGAGGAGGAGTGAAAACAGCAGGTGCTCTATTTAAAAGTGCAATGGATGGTTTTTGTAGAGCAGCTGCAGTGGAGCTCAGGTAGAGCTGGAGTGGTTTTCCTTGCTGGAATCCACCCCTGGTTTCTGGCTTGATTTTGCTCAAGGAGCTACCTGGAAGGTCCCAGTAGCTGAGGCTCGTGGCATGTGCTGACCAGCTCCTGCCAGTAAGGTGCTCTGTCTGCTGACACAAAGCATATTCCCTGGGTGGGGTTTGCAGGGACAACGTGACAGAAGGTGTACTGTGTCAGCATTCAGAGTGTGTTCTGGCAGTCATTACCTAAGTTTTCAGCGATCCTGTTCTTGCTCATTTCCAGGGCCTCTTGTCTGAGCTGCAGGGCATGCTGGGCGATCTCATCACTCGCCACGTTGGAGGTCATGATGAAGATGGCGTCTTTGCAGTCAATGGTCTTCCCCTTTCCATCCGTCAGCCTGCCCTACAACATTAGCCAACAAGAACAACATCAGTGGGGCGGTGGGTGACACTGAACCAGACTACCAAAAACCGCAGGGTAGGGTCCAAATACATCTGATCAGAAAGGCCTTCCTCCCAAGAAGGAGATAATCCTAATGCTCCATAAAAAAAGCCTGTAAGGCAAGTCACTTCAAGCCTCTCTGTGCTCCCGCAACACAGGAAACCCAGTTCCCTCAGAAAAGCATTGATGGGATACAAGACCTGCAAAGTGCTTGGAGATGGTTGCGTGGAAGGCCCCGCATATGAGTGCTTACCACAGGCCAACCACCCTTAGCAGCCTTTGCAGGAAGTAACTGGCTGCAGAAGGCTTTGAAAAGGCTAACATAAGTCTGATCATCATTAACAAGCCGGCAACCCAGTGTAGGTGGGGGTGATGGAGATAAACGGGACAGAAGAGGGAACTATGTGTCTCTGCGTGACTCTAGACCGCTCATCCACAGCAGGGGTACATGTGGACAGGCTGAGGGTGCAACCACACTGAGGATCCAGAGCAATCTATAGTGCCGTATGATCATTCAGGAAGATGGACTTGGGAAGTGTGGCTGCAATAACAGCCCCCTCTCACCCACAGCATTCTGCCCGCCGGGCAACGTGGCATGTGCTCCTACCCAATCTGTGGGAGGGACTGTTGTGGACATGAGCACTGATCTCTTCGGTATTGGCGCTTCTAACACTAAGCAAGGAACCTTTCCAAGTGCTCATTTTCTGCAGTAATAAAGCCAGAAAAAGAGAGAAAGAAAAAAGAACAAGGTCCCAAGGCAATGTTTATTCCCTGCTATGTCTCCAACAGCAGCTCCCTGGCACAATGACACAAATCCTTGTTGGGTGCTTCAGATTAACATTTAGGTTATTGCCCTGTCAACCACGTGGTGCAGGAATTGATTTCACATTTAGCTGCTGCGGCAATGATCTATGCAAGAAAAAATTGTGTTATTAATCCTTAAAAGAAAAAAACAAATAAACCAGCAGCCGTGATGCTGGAGTTAGTTTGCCTCCGAGGAGGACAGGTTTGGGAACAGCACGCAACAGGTTGTGCACTTGATGTACCACAGAGGAGAATAAAATGCTTGCCCAGCTCTGCTTGTGCAGGCTGTGGAGATGCAAGGCACTTCTCGGTCTGTCCATCAGGCCATGCAGGTGCAGCCATATACAGGTGATGGGTAAAGATCAATACCGGGCTATTCGGGACTCTAGTCTCCAATTCCTGCTTCTTACCCTTTTGATGCAACAAGGGCCAGGCAAGCGTCTCGTGTGTGGGGAAAGCTGTAGGCTGTGCTGTCACAGGCAGCTTTAGCCATCACCACTGTGATGCAGCTGAATCAGAAAGCAGGCAAGCACTTCATAAGAAATAACAGCACAGAGGCCGGTGGAATTACCCACTACAGGGAGAGCCTGGCCAGATTCAACAGGCCCTTTCCTTCCCCAGAGTTTCTCTGTGCCACGTGGCTCTACAGCACCAGGCGTCTAAGGAATGCAAGTGCTAATCAAGAGGATGCTATGTTAACGGGTGATGACCCAGCCTTAGAGTCTGCCCAGTGGAGGCCGAGGGCTTTTCCTGATTTCACTCCATCTGTTTTGGGGAACCGACAAGGAGGGGTTCAGTGTTTTTGCACTGACCCACACCACCCACCTTACAGCAGCTCCCATTCTTGGTACCATCTACCATGACAGCACTGTCATCATTCATGAGCCTTTTCAACTTCTCAGTACAACCTGTAGAGTCTCGTGCCTCTGAACTGCCTTGTTAAGCATCTGCTTACCCGCTTTCCCCTCCTTTGACCGGACAGTGCATTTTCCTGCCATTCTATTTCTGCACTAGGCTGTTCCTCAGGGCTTAAATTCATAGATGGTCCTGGATACAACTGCAAAACTGTATCCTATTGGAGGCCTGGTGGCAATGTGGTAGCACTATTCATGGCATGGTAGCTCCAATAAAATACCACAACTTTATAACCTCCAGAGGAAGGTGAGTATACGGCATCTCAAAACCCTATCTCCCACTGCCTTGTGAGTACTTCTTGGCTGGAGAAAGGCTAAGGGACATCATCCTGACAGAAATGCACCCTCACTGAGGCATTAGGCGGCCAGCAGCAGCTCTTATCTGTTGTTGTCTGGCAGAAGCTACAGCCATTGAGGCACTGAATGTCTGGACTCCGTTTGGCTTTTGGATACAGTGATCTAAAGGGATGGCTCTTCTTGGGCAGCCTCCACTTCTCCATACTCTTGCCTACGCATATGTGCTGCAGGTCTTGGTGTGATGGTCACAGGACTCTGTACAAGCGGATTCATCAGGTACCTGACTAGACATACACCACGATGAACCAAAGGATCGATGGTTGCATATTATGAATTCATAGACTAGAGGTAGGGCCAACTCGCTGGCTCACTGACTAGTGATTCCAAGCCTGAGACAGTGAGATGTCACTTGAACCCTTTGACGCCTTGTGTTAGTCCCTGCCATGCCATGAGCAGCTAGACTGAGACTTACTTCATCAAACAGCTGCAGCATGATGGTGAGGACATCAGGATGGGCTTTGTCAACTTCGTCAAAGAGGACCACTGCATTCGGGCACTGCTTGAGCTTCTTGGTTAGCTGCCCGCCTTCTTCATGGCCAACGTACCCGGGGGGAGAGCCAATAAACTTGGCAACCTGGAAGCAGTGAATAAAAACAGGACGTGTCACAGACTCTCCCTTGGTTAGAGAGGAGCTCACAACCCATGGTGACCCTTGTTCACAAGCATTAGGTATACCAGCTTTTCTACTTCATGTTTCCCCATAGTGCTTCAATAAGCAGTAAGTTAAACATGTGCTGCTCAGTGATGACTGAGAATTACGTGCTTTGTCAGAGCTCGCACAGATCTAGATGGTTAAAATTTTAACGGCGTCACTAGCCAGAGGGAAGGTGCTGGCAGGGGGCCGTGCTTAACTGCTAGTCTTTCTGAGATGTGCCACAGGATTGCCTGCCCTTCCACCAGAGACCTACTGTGATGCTCATCAAACATGCTAAGAGCGGCGCTGCTGAGGAACGCGAACAACAAGCATCTTCAGTGGAAGGTCTAAACTGGGGGAGGAAGAGAAAGGATGTGGATCTGAGAGAAGGCTGCTAGGACTGCCCTGCTCTTGGGGGAACCAACAGGCTTTCAAAAGAGCAGAAAAACCACATCCAAACTTTGGGGGTAAAATACACCGAAAAGAATCGTAACAAAACACGAGTCTTTCGACAGACATAAACTCAATTGTTTCTGCAGTTCTGGAAGAGCAATGTTCAGCTCCTGTTTTGGGATCTTCACTACAATACAGACAGCTCCCTTGGCAATAATATTTAAAAGGAACTTTACAGGTGCACAACCTGATATGCTGCAAAGGAGCCTAGTTTTCAGAGGATGGGCAAGGGGAGGGAAGGTGGGGGGGTGGAAAATCATGCCCTTCTTAAAAATCAGGGTCTTTTTAAGAGGGTTTAAACTGGGCACCCCAAATCATCCAGCATAACTTTTACCTTCTTAAAAGGATCAGTTACATTTAATTAGCAGGGGGCAGTGAACAGGAAAAACACATCCCTAAATTATTTCGCTGAAGAAAAAAGAGAACCTGCAGCTTGTTATTCTGGAAGTGTGAAACCGCCTAGCACAATGCCACGTCTACTGCAGGACGTGACAAAAGCCAGTTGCGCCCTTCCATATACTATTTGCCCATCTCGTCACCGGGGGTAATCATACTAATCTGCTGCAGTTTCCTTGCAGGATCTGTGCCAACCCAGGGTGACACAGGAAACAGGAGGGGGAAGAAGTCGACCCAGGTCCTTCCGTGCCTGTGGGAGGGCAGCTCTGTTGCCGCAACACCGCCTTCATGCAAAGGCTGGTGCCTGCTTCTGGCCACTGGGAGAGTAATTTGAACAGATCTGTCTGCCTGGGGAGAGCTCCGATGCTCACTTCCTCTTCCCCTTCCTGAGGAACGTACATCTGTTTCTAGCGTCTGCCCCCGAGGATGCCGACTCCTGCCCGTGGAGGCGCGGGGCTCGGAGCCCTCCCAGGACAGACACTGGCCACAGGCAGTTAATGCCTCCCATCTGTTTTAGCGATGCCTAGAGCGACACCGATTCCCCCTGCCGTTCCAAGGGCTGCTGCCTCCAGGGCTGACCTCTTGATCCTCGTTTGCTTGAAAAATTCAGGCTCTCTTCCTCTGCGATTCTCTCCCTGACCCCTCCTCGTTCCTTCCGTCCGCTCCCTTCGCTGCGGACTGTGTCTCTGCTGTCCTTGTCATCCCGTGATATTTTATCCCTGCCGTGCTGCGACTTCCGACTCTGACTCCCTTTTCTACTCAGTCATCAATGCTCTCTCTTGACTTGTTTTTGACTCTGACTGTAGAGAGCTCATCTCGCAAAGCCCTTCAGTAGCCATCAGCCAATCTACCGCTCAGTATTTTGCTCCTCTCCCTGGTCTCCAATGGCTTTGAGTAAAGAACAGTCAGCACCTCAGTTTCTTTCTAGTCCCTGCTATGCAAAGACCTTGCTGTGCCTGGCTATAACCTGAGGAACCACGCAATGCAGGTCTGTTTGGCTGCTATCCCCATCTCAGACTGGAAAATGGAGGGCCGCTCAGGACCGGTGATTTACTTACGGTCACTGGACAAGCCAAATCTCCTCTCCATGCTGAGCCCAACACTCATGTGAGCACACAGGGCTGGTGTCAAAACCTGATGCTCTCTGCTTGGAGCTCTCCTTTAATATTAGTATCCAGCAACACAGCTTCTAGCTTCAGCTGCCTGTTTTGAGGACTGCTCCCTTGCAGGCTGTCTCTCTAAGGCCCTAGCCCCCTCTCTTGCCTCAGAAACCATCCTCCTGGGTTTGAGTCAGTGAGACTCTACTCAGCCTCTTTCCTTTTTGGGGCATGACAATACAGGTCCCACTATGCAGTGAAGCTCTTCAGTTCACTTCCTGCTTCTAAAGCTCTCCATACAGCTCTCCCTGCCTTGTCTCCAACCATCTGCAGCTGTCAAGAGAAAGCCACTTTATATACAATTACCTCTGCAGTTTTTCTGCTTGCTTTGCTACGGCATTAACACACCCTCTTAGAGGAGACTCTCACCCAAAGGTGCACCCCATATCTTGCAGTGGGACCCACCTGCTCTCAGGGGTCAGAGACATGCTTTTGTTTCTTTTTCAGTGATGGCAGTTCTACTCTACAGGTGCACCAAGGAGGCTGCACCCGAAATCCTACACTGGATGACTCCTCTCTCCCACGGATGCATCCACCTTTCAGAAGATGACACCGGCTCTTACCAAGAGACCAGGGGGTCATTTACAATGCAATCACTCAAGGTTTAATTGTATTTTTGCCAATCCCAGCCATTTTCTTTCAGAGACTCTTGCTCCTGGGGATGCTGACGCCATGCGCAGAGGCCACGGGAGGGGAAGCGTACCATCCTCTGGTTTTTCCTTCTGTCTGCCTTGCCTTGGTTCTCTACAATTTTGCTGATACTTCCTCTGAGCCAAATGACTCAGTAGCCCATCCCTATCTGCAACACTGCACTGCCTGGATCTTGGAAATCATGAGCTTAAATTTTGAAAGGCGATCAAGAACTCTGCTTGGTTTACTCTCAGGACAGAGCCCCCTGTGAAGGCACCAGATCTGCCCTCTGCTTATTGTCTTTGCTTCAGTGGGAGTTTAGGAGCTCTCGGCCCCCAGGGGCAGCAATAGTAGGTGGTCAGGAAGGAGAGAGAGAGAGACAGAGAAAGAGAGAGAGAGATGGAAGAGACGCCATTTGTTTAAATTACTGGCTAAACTAGAACTGAGATCCCTACGAGTACAGACAGGCCATTTACCAACCTCGTGTCTTTCCTGGAACTCTGACATGTCCAGTCTAATGAAACCCTGCAAGAGAAATAAATACAAGAAGTTATTTTTGATTAAGGCACGGCCAATTTTATTACATTTAAGTAGCATCTTTGGGACCAGACTGGTGGCTGACGGGACTGATGTGTCAGTAGGTTTGTTTCTTTTTTCCCCAAGGCAGTGGGACAACGGGAAGCTCATTGTAAAGACTGAGGTGGATGCTGAAAGCAGGTGGAAGTGAATGTGCAGTTCCTTGAGGGCGTACTGGAGCACTTCCTAACGCTGGCCATCGTAGGCTCTGAGTGAGTCCAGTTTAGACGACCTGCTCGTTACTAGAAACGTGGTGATGAAAATAGGACCGAAATAGCAACTTGCAATTTGCTAAATAAAACAGACATTATTGCTGTTCAGCTGTTTAGAAATAAATCAATAGGGGAACATAATGCCTCCTCTATAAAAAAAATATAATAAAGTCAAGATAAATTAGGTTCTTGGGCATTCAGAGCGTCGAGATAATATTGTTACTGAATTTATAGGTTACTACGCAAACCTCTTCTTACATTTGAAAGGCTGATGATTCATTGCAGAAAATGAACTTCCTGTGCTCGGAGCTATAACTTAGCTCATATTGCTGCAAAAAAGGCGAGCCCGAACTTCCTCAGCACTGATAAGGGATGGCCATCCAACTCTCCAAAGACATGCGGCTTACAGGTTTCCTCTAGTCACGGCTCGTACCTCTGTGACCCACAAACGAGGTAGCACGAATGACTCATCACATACGCACATCAGCTGGAGAGCCACAGAGGGTGATCCATGTTGCTACAGACCCTTACAAGGCAGCTGAGACCAAGGCCTTATGCTTAAGATATCACGACTGTGGCTGTCTGAAACTCAGTAGCATTTACCAGTTGTAAAACCCCAGGCTTTTCACCATGCCGGGAAGAACCTGCTAAGCCGTTAGCTCAGTGATATCAGCTTCCTTATAAAATAAAGGAAGCATTCAGTTGTTTGGAGGGACATCATTACATGATTAAACTGCATGTCACTGATGCAAATGGGGAGACTAATGACAAAACATGTGAAAATCCCCTTCAAAATGCAGGGGGTCAGACTCGATAATTTGTTGAGTCCAACCCTAGCATCTATGAATCTATAAAAAATAGTGTTGGGGTAACAATAGATGAACCCCTTGTAGGTGGAGTCTGCACACCTACCCAAAACTTACTGCACCTGCTGCATCTATGCATTTCATGGACACAGTAACGTATATAGAAACAAGGACGAAGGCAGGAACTGTTAGCTGACACAATAAGCTACTACCGGTTGGTTCACAAGGGTATGTACAGGAGTAGAAACTCCATAAAACCTAATACCACATTGCAGACATGCAGGATGGGATTCGCAATGATTAAGTGCCTAAACCCCACTGAATTTCAACTCCCAGCTGTAGTTTTCCACCTTCGAGGACCTGGGTGTCACAGAAGCTGTACCTCGCTCCTAAGACCTTCAGTGCAGAGGCAGCTCAGTACATCCCAGGGAGGTCTGCCCTGCGTGTATGTCTGGACTTTGACTTCAGGACTTTGTGAGAGGCAAGGGTTTTGGGGAGGGTGATACCTTTTAATGGACCAACTGCATGGTTGGAATACAGCTAGACAAGCTTTTGAATGCCAGTCATCCTTCACCATACCTTCATTCAGGACCTGATAAAGACGGTCTTGCATTCAAAAGCTTGTCTGACTTTATGCCAGTCATGCAGCTGGTCCAATAAGAGGCATCTCCCCCCAAAAAACCTTTGCCTCTCGCATAATCCCTGAACCATCATAAGCTATAACAACACGACTCTAACACTACTCAGAACTCAGAGAGCCCAAAAAGGATTCCCTTAAATTCAAAACAAGAAGCTGGGATTTCCCAAAAAAGATCCGCTTAAAAAAAATAAAGGTGATCTGGAACCACTGGAATGTTTTTCTTTCTATGGGGTTGGGAGGTTTTGCTTCAGAAATGTCTCCTTCATTCACAGGGTTTTGTAACACAGCAGGAAGATACAAAAGCTCATGCCTCTGAATCAGTCTCCAAGGTACCGCTCTGCTCTACTGTCTGCCTGACTTCAGACTAACGTATCTACCTGCCTTTACCGTAGCAGCACAACAAAACGTTTCTGCTTTTCCCCTGGGAAAAGCACGGCTGAAAGCATCATGATTCCATAAAAAAGGCCTTGTGAAACTGCTTGTGTTGCTGGAAAATCATTCCATCCAAAAATGCCTTGACCAACTCTGGTAAGCGCTTGTCAAGCTAGTCGCACGATGGGCACTGATACTCAAACCAATGGAGATGGGGCCAGTGACTTCAAAGCAGTCCCTGATGTGGGGTACTCAATGAGGTCCATGTAAGGCCTGTCTGTCACCAAGACCAAGCACCCATGACACTAATGAAGTAGATGGAAGTGCTGGATTTGCACACGTGTCAAGTTGGGCAGTCAAAATGGAGGTGTGAAAGATGGACTCGACTCCTGAGAACGTGGCCTGGTCCTGATCTCAACTGCCCCGGCATCTTTCAAGCACCATGGGTGGAATTATGTTCAGGAGAGGAAAGCCGGGGTCTGGCCCTACAGCAGCCAGCCTGTTTGCAGTCTCACCCTTTCTACATCTGCACATCAGCAGAGTTCGCTGCACGCACACCAGGCAGGCTAGCATGAGCCAGATAAAGATAATAGCATCCGTAATTACATTTTAACCTTTCCGTCAGTATGAAAATGAGCCCATTACACATTCTTCTTTCTTAATCAGACAGTTCCTGCTAAGAGCTGCCTCCCCCATAACTGTCCACAAAGTTTATGACCCTTTTCACAGTGCTAATTACTGCAATGACTGCCAAGCTGATGCATTGCCAATAAACCCCTGATTTGTGGGTGCTATTGAATTAACACAACATTCAGCGTTCGGTTGGTCTTCCTATTCGATGTCCGGCCAGGTCACTGACCAATTCCACATGCAGCAGCCCTGGATGAAGGTGCTTTAGATCCAGGAACTGGAATTTATTGCGTTTGGAAGGCAATTACAGAAGGATGAGGAAAAGAAACCAGAGCAGCTGTTTTTATGGCCTCATTTTACTTTTGATCTTCTTTGCAACATATTCTTTTCATGTCTGTTTTGTACCAGTGGGCTCCTGGAAGAGGTGGGTCTGGTCTGACACTGGCTTGCAAGACACTCTGTTGCTGCCTCCCCGCATTTCCTCCTGGGATATACATAGGCTCTGTTTCTAATCTCACAAAGGTTTTATACCTGGGGATCTCCAGTGACCTCCAAGGGAGCAGTGGGGCCCTTCGGAAATCAGGCTGGTGTTTGAACACAGAGGTAGAAGCCTAACATTAGATTTATCATTTTCGAAAACCATGGCCCAATTTTTAAGGAAGATGGTTCCAACCAGCTAAGAAGTGTTCCTAGAAGCTTTTCTGAAAATAAGTCATAAAAAATAGCCTTTTTTAAATAGACAAGGCACCTTCATCTGCGTCTGAGTCCCACACATTTCAAGGATAAGATCCTGAAAGTACAACTGGCTTTACTTCTTTTAATTGTCCAGGCTGAATGAAGTCTGAAATAGCAGGCAAGTAGCACAAATAACAAGGAGTGAAGGGTTCCCCTCTGCACCATTCTTTGTCTTCTAATGAAATTAAAATGTGGCACAGACAAAGAAACTTATTTGCTGGCAACAAAGGACTTTCAAGTGACGGTATCCCCAGAAGCAGGGAAAACAACCGTTTTGTTCCATTTCATAATTTATAATAAAGTGTTATTAGTAATATAGGCGGGGATGCACTTTAAAAAAACCCAACGCCCTTTAGTTTCAACCAGTGTCCCTGAACTGCTGTGCACTGATGGATCTGAGTCACAGTCCTCTCTCCTGCTGCTGATCAGCGAACCACTGTGATGCGGAAGGGATAAAAAGTGAAAGTAGGATTTTCTAGCACTGAAGGACCATGCAATGAAGCCTAGCATGACACATCAGTGATGAAGACCGCACTGAGACTGAATACCGATCTAATTAAAACAAAAAACAAACAGACCAGACGTTACCTTCTTGAGGTCCTTGTGGATGTACTTTGCTGTCTGTTTGGCCAGCTCTGTTTTACCTATTCAGAGAACAGTAAAACAAAAAAAGAGATGAGTGTTGAAACCATTATTAATTACAAGAATCTCCTGTAGAAACGATCTGGCGTATGGGGCCTCTGCCCACTGGAAACCATCCATGATGGAAACAACTGTTAGTATCCACTGCAATTAGCATACAGCCTAGGAGCCCCAGTCACAGACCCAGACCCCGTTCTGCTATATATCATACGGATACAGACCATGGAGACAGTCCCTGTCCAAAGAGCTCACGATTAAGATTAAGACAAGGCACAACAGGTATCTACAGGCAGATAGACGGGACAGCACAAGAGGGCTTCATAACACAACGGGCAGCGGCCTCTGCATGCCAGATGTCTAACCACTGTAAAGTCTTTTTCAGGCCTGACAGCAAAGGATACCAAAGGAAGGAGCTGAAGGGGGACAAAGAGGGGACTCTGTGAGCACGCCCAGGGACTCCCTCCCTTGTGTGAGCAGCAGCAGGGGAGAGAGTGTGAAGGTGCCTGCTGACGATCTAGCAAACATGCTTGACGGCCTAAGCAGAACATCACGTGTTGGATCCTTAATAGCTCGATTCCTGAATGGAGAGAGAGATTTGAATGCTTTCCACAAAAAGCGGTGTGGCTGGAGCAGATCTTTGCTGTGTTTATGCCAAGCACCCTGTATCTCACGTGTGATGTCATTACTCTCTAGATCAAAAGTGAATTATCTGGGAAATGCACTATTCTTTATTTATTTGATTTATACGGGGCAACTATCATAAAACTGTAGGCATATGAAGAATCAATAATTCAAAACATATATTACAGAATAAATCCACCTTGACACGCTATCAACAAACGCGCCGGCTCATGGAAACGGAGACCCTGTCTGTTCAGCCTACCTCTCCAGAAAAGGCCTGGGTGAATGCGTCCTGAACATCAGACCGCTCCAGGCTCTGCCAGACCCAGAGAGATGCAAATGACAGAGCCCAGGGCCCTTACTGAATGCCTTCTGGCTGTAACCCCAGGGATATCAATACAGGGCCTAGCAACCTGAGTGCACCTGCTGCCTTCTGCTCCTGGGACACGGGAAAGGGAGAGAGTGCTTCTAAAAGTCAAAGGATCTGCAACGTTAGAGCCTTTACAGGGTTATAGTAACAGGTCAGATTGTGTTTGCAAATGAATGCAGGCCAGGAGCTGCACTTACATTGAACCTTTTATATTTCAGTACACACCTTGCATGTGTAGGCTTTAACACATGGGACAAATGCACAAATGCACACGCTCTTCACTTCCCCACAACCAGGTGTTGTATTTAAAAGGCCAACTGGTGTCCTGGAATTCTGCAAGTCTGCTTCCACCGTAGTCAACACGGGAGCGAGTCAGGGCAGAGCCTGGCTCTGAAGTCTTGACCCATCGTATAGTATTGTGGTGAGCTGCCAGAGGTAGCCGTTCGTCAGCTCTAAGTGGAACAATCAATCGTTTGGGACCCATTAGGCTCATTTAACTTGGCTGCTGCATGACACGGGCCAGAACATTTCACGCAGGGACTCCAGCATCAAGCCCATAGCTTCTGCTTGAGGTAGGCCCTGCCTGTACGGCCGTCTCCATACTCTGTATTTGGATGGTATCTGGCAGAATGGGGTAACTGTAACTGATAATGAGCGAGCGATGCAAAGCCTAGAGTTGAAGGTGAATGTGCCCCATCACTGGGTCGCCGGTTCCACTGGTTATCTAATTTAACTCCCTGCCAAAGGCTGGCAACTTTTGTCAAGCTGACTAGTGTCTAGCTAGCTGCTAGGTCTTGTTATCTGTGTCTGCCCTGCATTTGTGTCTATGCATATACGGATATAAAATAGCCTTGACAGTGGCTAAGCTCTTTCGGGATCTGCTGCACTGTGTAAAGGCACATTAGATATTGCAATCTGCCTCTGAGCATGTAGACGGCTACAGCATCAAGAACCCTGTAAGACACCCAAGACGGAGCTTCAGCTCTCAATCGCCTTGCTTCTTTATCTGAATATTCATTTTTATGTCACCAGCTAGAAAAACGTGTCATGGGAACATATAAGAGTTGATGGAGCCGACAATTTAAATGATTGAGCCTTCAGACTTGTTATAATGTGTGCCGTGAAGTCTTACAAATACTGCATATTGCTTTTATATGGCTTCATAGGAACACATTTAAAGTAAATACCTTGCCTAGCGCAGCTCCGAGGCAGGACTCTGTATGGACGATAATTGTTGCTTGAGCTCACTGCCTTACAAAAACAGCATCTTCCAGCCAAGCAAGCGAATGCAGGACAGGCAAAGCACTCGCCTTTCCCAAATGCCGCATTTTGGTAACCTTTTTGTTTCAGCAGAGTAGGAATCACTTTATTGTTTTCATAAACTGTGCTACGTTTTTGTGGAAGCATTTGGGAGAAATGTTCGTGTCTGTAGACAAGCGAGGTCCTTGCCCCAGGGAGTTGACAATCTAAGTATCCCTCAAGTTAGTACATTACTGTGCACACCCACGTTATTTTGGTATTTTTTCTTTTTAAAGTTCTTAAAACAGCCTTGTTTCTTATTCAAATGGAGTCCATGAAGGGCAGATTTTCATCAGGTATAAACCAGAGTCACATCAGTCGGACCAGGTGAGGGTCTGATTCCATGTGCTGAAGGTAAGCTTGAAACTAGCCTAAAATGCGGCAGGGCAGAGGCAATGACCAACTGGAGGCCCCTTTGATACCCAAATGGATCAATAGAAATTTTCATGATGGACTTTGACCTCTCTGAAAGCATGGCTAGGTATAGGGGTATACAGGTCCTCAAAGAGGGGAAACCTGGGGCTCACCACCTCAGCCTCCTACACACAAGTACTATGGACCCGTATGTGTGTATCCAATGCCCACACCTCAGACCCGCACCCATAACAAATGACAATCCGACTGTTACCTATTCCCGACGATCCCAAGAAAAGGAAAACCAAGGGGTGCTCTTCGTCGTACCAGCCATTTTCTTTTCTCCGAATAGCTGCGTTTAAATACAGTGAAAACAAAAGGGGGGAAAGGGAAGAAAAAAAAAAAGAGGCATATAAATCAAAGACACAAAAGCAAGTATAATTATCACTAAGTATACACTATGTTTTACTGCTCTCTGCCCACTCAAAGTCCTCACTACCATTAGTGCTACCTAATTTGATTAGCTGGCAAGGCCCCCAGAGACACCTAATCAAGTTAGCATGGATTTGGAAAGCTGCCCAGAGCAGATTTCGGATAAAGTTTTCCAGGATGTGCACTCAATGTTGCCAGGGAAACAGAAAGGAGGGCGCACACTGAATGAACGAGAAAGGGCTGCGGGGAGAGGATTCAAGAGGTGCGTTAGGCTTCCCAGCTCGTCAGCGCAACCTTTCTGCAAAAGGCTGGTTTGGAGAAGTTTGTCGCTTTGCTGTCTTATGCAAATGGAAAGGAGGAGGTTTGAATTCAAGGTCATGGTAGCCTTGAACGAATGTGAGTCTTGTTTAAAAACACTGGGAATAGAAAATGAATCAGCAATATCAACCAACAGATGGAAAGTGATATGGCTGTGTGACGGATGAAGGATATTAAACGGAACACATCACCCCAATGGAGGGGATGGGTCAGAAGCCAACGTCCAGACTTCACTGACAAAATACCGGTGGTAGACATATTTGACTAGCTAGGATGTCGGACCATCCCGAGAAAGTTGTTCTGTGGTCACAAAGCTGTCTCAATTCAGAAGGGGATGGGGCAAGGTGGGCGTCCCGCAGCCCTTTTGTAGGCTCTCATCTGCTGCAGCTTTGCGCCCTCCAAATTTCAGATTCTCTGTCAAAACTAAACAGCTGTTGCACTGAATCAAAAAACCCAGCCCTGGCTCCCATGTCAAGGCATGGGACAGACCCTGGCTACATTTCCTTGGGGTATCTAACCAACAACAAAGCCTAATACATCTCACCGCTCTAGTTTAGTTAGGGAGCCTCTCTTAACCAGAAGCTGGCTGCCATCAAGTTCTAGCCTCACTTCATCTCTGGAAGCTGAAGGCGAGGAGTTTCAATGCTTATTGAGCTCCACAGAGCGCTCAGAGGATGAAAAGATAAGGACCGTCTCATGTAGAGGTACATCCGACAGATGACATCTCCTAACAGGCCCGATGCATCGGCAGGTCCTTGAGAGCGAGCTGGAGCACTGCAGGCAGGGGACCAGAGATTTCAGCCATGATTCTGCATGTAGTTGCATGGTGTTATTGGGAAAAATATGTCTAGAGCAAAAACCCCGCAGTGACGAGCAAATGTATCAGTTCAGTGTGTTCTCATACTCATAGTTTAAAGAAAGACGGTACCAAAGGGATACTGAATTTTCAGGCTTTCACGCTTCAGACAGAAAAAAGGCAGAACTGTGTCTTAGTTTACTGAGGTTCTCCTGATTTATCTGCATTATTTAAACCAGGCCTCCTCTACTACGGCTCTTAAAAAGAGTTATTCTCGGCACGCTGATTGGCCTGTGCTGCACAGTGTTTGCGATGTTTTGTAAGAGGGAAGCCACGCACTGGTAAATTGTATTGCGTCGTAAATGATATGCCGGTGCTCCTAATAGTTTACCTGTAAGGGTGTTTTTTAAAATGCTTTGCAGATCTGTGCTTGGCAGCTGCCAGAGGTCAATGAAACTGAAGATGCGGCACATTGTGTTTGATTGAAGTATGGCACTGAATGGGCAAAATGCCAGGCTCTCAGGAATGATAACCTAGACGCTTCCCAGATAACAGAGGTAAAGATGAAAGACAAGGACCAAGAGATCTGGAGCTCTCCAATGCTTTTTGAGTGAAGTTTTCCTCTGGAAGTTACTGTCAAAGTGAGACGTGTTCCTTGTCTCTCCATGATTTCTGTATAAAACATACTCATGCATCTCTTGGCGCTCTCAACAGCACGTGTCACCGCAAATTCAGCCTTCTATACGCTCCTTTTGCAGCTTCTTTACCTTCCAGCGTAACTTATTACAACATCGTTAGTCTCCAAAGAGTTAAAAACAAAAACCAAAAAAATTACTGTAGTTACCATACATGGACGGTTCCAAAATACAGGCAATTGGTAAATCGGGATGCTAAATCTATCAATGAATAATCTTTGATTTGTGGGGCAAAGAATAAAAACAAAAATTTAAACCATGTCAGGAACAAAAGACCCTGTGGCATCACTACCAGTAAGAAGGGGTTGGTATAGGGATGATAAAAGCTGACAAAGCTGATACAGGGACAGCAAAGTTGTTCAATAAATATATCTGTTCTGAGTTTGGAAAGAAGATGGATGACTTGCTCACAACTTACAGTGGTCATGAAAACCTTTGGACTCCAACAGTTCAAAGCATGTGACAAAGTAAAGCTAAAACCTGGATTATCTGGGAACAATTCAAATAACTATATAATATTAATTCAGCACATATTGAAAGGATTAAAATCCACGTAAGGGATGGATGTCAACAAGTTACTGTAAAGGGGGAAATCATCATTGAAATGCTGGGGGAAAAGAGTGAAGCGGTGGATCTGTCCTAGGCACCGGGCTATTCAATGTCTTTATCAGTGACCTGGGAGAAGACAAAATAAAATTCTCAGCAAAGTTTACAGAGGACACAAACACTGGTGGCGCGGTAGAGACAGATTTGTTCTGGGCTAACTTGAACAACGTGTGCTTTAATACAAGGTCGTATGGCTGAGGACCAAGAATGGAGGTTGGACTGTACGATATGGGAGTATATTTTGGAAATCAATGACTTGAAAAAGACATGGGAGGGCACAGCGGATAACCAACTGGAAGTGAGCTCAGAGCGGGATGTCGTGGCTAAGAACAACTACCATCCCTGGCTACAGGAGCAGGCAACTATGAAGGAGAAGTGAAGAGGAGGGATGGTTTCTGTATGTGGTGCTAGTGAAAGCACAGGTCTGGTGTCCCTCTTTTAAGAAGGATGTTTGGATCATTAAAAGAGCTGCAAGAAGGATTCAAGGTGGGAAAAACTGCTGGGCAGGGTGAGGCTCAAGAAACTCTGTGTATTTAGGTTAAAAAAAAAAAGGAGGTTAAGAAGAGGTGACTGGATCAGTGTGGAAGGGCCTGTGAGAAAAGATGGATGAAGGCAGGCAAAGGGGTAAGTGTCCCAAGGGCTGATACTGGACTAATTCACACCAGAAATAAGGCACGCAGTGAGGATAACCAACCACTGGAACAAATTACAGTTAAGGATGTAACTGGTTCTGCAATCACTTGTGGAGTCTCTAAGTCAAGACTGGGTGTCTTTCTAAATGATGTGTAGTTCAACCAGAACTTGATGGCCTTGGCACAGGAAACATTTTGGCCTGTGCTGTGCAGGAGGTCAGACTAGATGATCGTAACCCTACCGACATCTGGACTCTGTATAGGGGAGCAAGGGAGAGCGGTAGCGGGTACGGATAAGAATCACAGGCATATGGAAGAGGGCAGAATTTGGCCTGTGATGAGTGTCTGGGAGTTGGCCTGTTGATATCAAGTCCCGTAACATCATGGAGAAGAAGTTTGGAGACACCGAGTTCAAGATCATGGGATTATCTACAGCAGATCTCAGTGGATACACACTACTGCTCCCCAGCTCCTCACAGCCCAGAACATCTCAGCCAAATAACCATCACGGGAGGAGGAACAGGATAGCAATGGGCTTGTTCTAGCTGTGCTGGCACCAGCGTCTGGCAAAAGCCACAGCAGAGTTGAGGGGCTCTGCAAGGTGAGAAAGACCCGCTGATGCAGAATATGCATTTGTAATTGCAACTACAGGTGTTTGTGCCTGAAAGCTTGTAAAGAACAATTTTTTCCAACTGTTTATTTAGCGTAATAAAAGATATCACATTTACCCAAAGAACCTTGTTTGCCTAATTGCAACTACACACTCCATAAACCACAGGTTCCTCTGAGACTGTGCTGAAACGCCCAAATTTCCCAGAGGGCTCAATGCACGAGGTCTTTTTTTTGGCTTTTATCACAGCAAACAAAAGGTCAAATATTGTGGGTGGATTTAAAAAAAAAAAAATCAATGGAGAGGATCATGATCACTGACAGCATTTGTGGCTACTTTGGTTGAGATAATAAGAGTAATAAACTCTTGCTTCAGGGCATGAAGTGATCACCTGCAGGGATCAGTGTGTGCCACCCTGCTGTATCAGCTGGTAGGTTCATTGCAGGCTTGTTTTCTCTTTCCCTTGGAGCAGGATACCAGACTTTACGGCCAAGTGTTGGCTCCCACGTGTCAAATCCTGTGGAACTGGCTTAGCTGTGCTGTTTGAGGAAGAGGGATTGCAAACAATAAACTCAGGGTTTATGATTTGGGATTGAAATTCTTGTTAGGAAATGAAAAGAGCTCTTGGCCTCTGCTGCAGAGAACTCTAGATTGGCGATAGCAATCTGTGGTCCGCGGGCCGGATCAGACCTGGGAAGAGAGGCAATGATTAGAAGCACATGGCAGAGATCAGGGATGGGAAGGGTGGGGGGAAAATTGGTGGCATGCGACGGCAGAGGATGGTTAAGGGAAGCTGGCCCACAGGCAGTAAAACATTGCCAACCCCTGTTATAGGTTATATAGCTCAGCAAGGAGCGACCTGGTGTCAGAGCCTTTGCATGGTGGACACTCAGTAGGCAACCTAGCTGTGCAACTCCAGTCCCAACAATTCAAGCCAGCCAGAACTGAGCCACCTTGGGGCAGGGGTTCCCTGCGCAGCACATCGACACGAGCGCTTGATAAATGAAGACTTCAGCTGCCGGCTGAAAACAGAAGGCTGTCTGACAGCACTGGAGGTGTCTGTGCTGCGAGATGCATTTGCCTGCCATGTTATTCATTTTTCATTGACATGTGTGCAGGAGATCCATATTTTGGGTAGCGCAGCCTCTCGGTATGCAGCATTCGCTCTTCTGCTATGCCAAGGGAGCACGTGACGTAAAAAAATCCAGGTGCTTCGCCTTTTCTCGTTCAGAAATTCCAGCCTATTTCCAGCAGGAGAGAAGG